GGCGCGTTGCTGTTGCTCGTGCCGGGCATGACGGAGGCGCGTGTCCTGCGCTTCGAGGAGGCGACCGTGGCGCCGTACACCTCCCACCGCCTGCGCCACGTGGGCGGCATCGACGGCCTTGGCATGACGGACCTGCTTGGCGTCGCGTGTTACCCGCTGTCGTCGCACATTCTCTGCGTGGTGCTCGTCGGTGTCACCGGCGTCGTTGTGGCGAAGGTGGATGATCGCAAGTGGAGTGTGACGCGCTTGCAGGGGCAGAGCTTCACTGCGGTGACGGACGCACAGGTGGAGGCGACAACGGGTGACGTTGTTGTTGGCACGAACGAAGGCACCGTTATATACATGCGCCGCGAGGCTCCCAGGATGCCGGCGCCCAAGAAGGCGGCAGCAGACAACGGCAACGACGACAACCCAGTCAAGACGACGATGGCCACCACCCCCACTGCTGCTGCTGCTGCTACATTTGCGGGTGGCCAGTCCAATGGCGTAAAGAAGAAGATACGGACGGAGACGTCGGTGCGTGGCGCTGTGGATGCCGAGAACACGGGGGATGAAAGTGGCAGCGGCAGTGGAGGCGGCGGCGGCAGCAGCAGCAACAACAGCACAAGTGGAAGCGATAACGAGGATGAGGCTTCCTCCTTGTCTACCTCCGTTGTGAGGGAGGACCTCCGGCAGGTGGTGCATGATCTCAAGCGCAACAACCCTCAGTACATCGACGACGACGACGAGGAGGAGGCGGAGCGGCCGTCGCGATGGCGGCAGCAGGACCCGAAGGAGGTGGTGCGCCTCGTCGAGGAGACCCACCGCCAGCATCGCTCTGTCTTCCTCGACGACGAGGCGGAGGAAGACGAGGAGGACGAGGAAGAGGAGGAGGATGACGACGGCGGTGGAGCGGACGCGGAGGGCAATGGGGCACGGCGCCGTGCAGAGCACAGTCGCGGCGATGACGCGGCGTCGGTGGGGGCGACGGACGCGGACGGTTCCATGACGTCCTTGCAGGCACCACACGACGCGATGATGCGTTCAGCAACAGCAGCACCTCCGGTGACGGACTATTCCTTTCAGATTGGCGCGACGCCTGTGGGGGAGGAGGGGAGCTGCTACCTGGCGTACAACTCGGTTGGCTACATCCACAGCACCGCGGATGGCACGACGATTCACTTCCACGACATGTCGTTGCAGGCCGTGCGTATACTGGAGCGCGGCACAATTCTCATGGCGGCGCTGAGTCCTGTTGGCGCCGCCTTCGTCCTGGCGCAGGAAGCGGACATGGACAGCGTCGACGACACTCCCCGGCTGACAGTGTACTACCGCACGTTTGTCGCCATTGGCGCGCAGTCGGAGTGGCGAGTGCGGCTCCACCCAGGCGAGTCCGTGCGCTGTCTTACTGCTGGCATCCGCTACACGGCTGTTGCGACGAGCCGCTACCTGCGCATCTTCTCCCTCTCGGGGTTGGAGCTTGCAGTACTGAGCCTCTTCCCCCGCATCGTTGCGATGGTTGGCACCAACAGCAGCGCCATCATGCGCGCCTTCAAGGCTGACTTCGACCCCCTCGCAGTGTGCTACCTCGAGAGTGGCGGCGAGCTGCGGCTGCAGGTGCTCGACGTGGGCGCGCGCGCGGTTGTGGTGCCTGCGGTTTCGGTGCCGCTGACGCTGCAGCCAGACG